CTGGCTATACTAAATGATCACATCCACTTCTAATGTACAGTATATGTGAGAGGTAGAAGGCAGGGCTCTACAGTGGGAATATTTCACTCTCATTTCCCTCTAAAAATAGATTTGTGTGAACAGCAATAAACTGATCATAGTAGAGTTCTCCATGGAGACACAGCCTGTGAACAGTGAAAAAGTATCAGTACTATATTTTTACATGTGGACATCGACTAAAAGTAAGTCTATTACACTTCGTATTCAACCTGAAACAGACAAAGAGAAATATGAATCTTGAAGTGTGATTCCTAAGGTTCATCTTATGAGACTTATAGCTTACATGTAGGCTTTATATGTGATTTTTTTGATCCAGCAGATGTCTCCCTTGAGCACCAGCATGAAACCAAAACAACTCGCGCTGCATTATTGTGTTAGCATGCTAACGCTAGCGATATTTATTGCGCTCGTATCTTCACACTGCATGTAAATTTACCCGAAATGACCGTGATCTAGAAACGCTTACGTGACATTCAATTAAGCAGTGAGTACAGTATGTTATTCTTTTTTTCTCTAGTCCCTCAATTAAACAACTTTTATACGTGAGGGGAGGAGTCTGCTGGCCGTCCCAGCGATGTAAACAAACTGAAGATAGGACTCTGAAAACTCTGAAAACATCACAAACAGTGGAACTCTGGTGTTACACCCATTGTAGACAGTCATGACTCACAGAGTTATTTTCAGAGGATATACTTGATTTCTATTATACTTAAGTGTGAAAAATCGCATATTAAGCCTTTAAAGTAGCATGGTGACCATAGGGATGTGACTGATCAGCTGACTGAACAATTCAATGTTGTTACCCTCGCTAGTCAGTACCAGAATTTATTTTCGGTTGAACTGATTTTTAATGTTTTTTTTATTAATGTGGGCCCACAATGCCTGTCAAAAGTTATGTTGAATCTGTGACGAAGCCCCCAATACTAGCTGGGGCTGTAACTCTGGTTAATGGGCTTGCTCTCCCTACTCTGCTGCCTGGATGTAAAACTGCATAATGGACAAACGGCATCTAGTTGGAGGAGCTTGGTTTCGCGGATTAAGTTGTTTGCACATCGATCAGGTCAATGCGTAGCTACTATTAGCAAAGACATTTGGACTTTTACCTGCAAGGATAACCGAAGGCTGTTGGTGCCTGCACTGCTAACAGTAGCCACTCTCAGTGCACCAATCACACCAAGTAATGTACGTCTCAAGTGCCACACATTTCCGTGTCAAACATTTAACATATCCATCAAGTTTGTTAATGAAGAATGTGATTAACTGTTTTAATTGATTCTAAATAAGCTACACCCAGTATGGTTTTTGACAGTATTTAGCCATGTTAAGTAAATTGTGCTTAATTTTGACTCTTTATGAGTTTTTCTAACCTTTAGACTATTTAACTCGTCTGAATTTAAATTTCTGTTCATTTGACAGGAACATTTGTTGTTAGGAACATACCTAATTCTGACTAATGACGACCGAGTGATGTCATTGAAGCTAACATGACTTCACTGTCATTACAATGACCACTGGAGCTATTGCACACTCAGTATTAATATTTATGTATCAACTAATATACATGGTTTGCTTCTATTGTGACATTAAAAATTGGGGACTGTGGAGAAAAAAGCCAACTACCATATCATAGTGGTAGATTATATTGTCCTCAATTATTTTAAGTGATGTTATTAATTATCTTCATGGAGTTCATCAGCATGTTTATAGAACCAAATTGTGTAAAAAGAAACAAAAAAGGTGCTGACATCTTAATCCACCCTCTGTGTTTTTCCGTAAAAATGTACAAAGTAAATAATGTGATGTGACATAACAGCCCAGCCCAGTCATGCCAATCCTATTTCATAACTAGAATATCCATTGTGGTTTAAATTGTATTCATTCAAATATAAATAGTATTGTTCCTTTTTAAGTCTTACAGCATGTGTAATATTTCAGAACTTTGGGTGAACGTTTCCTTCATGGACTTCTCTTCTCCACTACTTTAAATGAATTGAAAAAACAAAGTTTTATATGAAAACTCATTGTTAATGCACAGAGTTGATGCACTGAAATAAAGTGCTGCCTGGTCTTACATCAAACCATGCAGCACTGCCAACACTCAGTTGAACTGATGAACCATGCCTGCTGCTGATTGCCAGTGTGCACACTCTTTGAAAAACATCAATCAAAGCAGCCATTAAATACTTAGATAAAATACTGATGGTACTACAACAGAGGTTTTTAGCTGGCTCTGTTACTGCTTGTTCACTTAGCAACAATTTTTTCTAACACCCAGTTAACAGTGCTGGAGAGGCTCATGGAGCACATTTCAAGTACCGATTTGACCACTTGGATTTCTTGGATGGATGGAACCAGCAGTTGTGTAGCAACAGCATCTATTACGGCACTTATTACACAATACTTTGTGTGTATGTGCTGGTAAGACTTGCCAGTCTTTGTGTCTCCATCCCAATTTTTTATTTCATTTTCAAAAATACATCTCCACAAATATCTCTCTCAATAATACACATGTTGTTTAATTTGCTTACATTCTGTAGCTTATTGACATGATGAATATTTTTGCTGCAAGTGGGGCACATTTAATATTTTCTTACTCTGCTTCACACAGTCTTTTGTAAGATTTTAAAGCAGCCTGGATAACAGACGTCCAATTGAGCTCTCAGCTTGTGGTCTGTTTTCACCCTAACTCCCAAGACACTTGCATTGGATGGTGGTTGAAGGGAAAAAGAGCAATCTTAAATTCTGCAAAGGGGAGGACCTACTAGATTAGTCTATTTCTAGACCAGCGCCTTCTTTTTTCTCTGTCGCTACTCCTTTAAAGATCTAAGAACTGTTACAGAGAGCCGTCTCCAAAGACAGAAAGAAACATTGAGGGATTAAATCTCTCCAGGGAATCAAAGAGTGATGGTGACGAAGACTGAGAGTGAGAGTGAGAACACAATGTACAGGTAGAGAGTTAGATGAAAAATCAGGTTTAGTCAAAGAGTGGCTCCAAATTGCCCAATTCTGGGTGTGGACACAACAAAGCAAAGCGCTTTATTTATCCAGTCAAGCAAAAAGCATATTAACATAAAACTGGTCTGCTGATAGGTCTATCGCACTTAATGACCTGTGTTGGCAACATATTTCAGCAATAACGTTTTCTGTCTTTTACATGTCAAGGTAATTTTGTCTTACAGGTGAAGATATACACAGCAGAGCAGTATCTGAAGATGTCATACATCACTAGATCTCAGGGCTCCAGCCTTAGGAGTTCTCATTCTGTTAAACAACAATGTTTTCATTTGGAAACATCCACGGCATATATTACATAATTTGAATTTCTGATCACAACAAAGTCTCTGCTAAAGCTAGAAGCCCATCCATAGAGAGCCACTGTACACACTACATCAATCATTCCCTTCCTTTTTACACTGATCCTGATTGAAGATGTGATTTACATTATTGACAGTTGGCCATTGAACGAGCAGCTTAAAGTCAGTCTTCGTATTCACTGTGCTGAACAACTATCGATTGGAATTTGCTGATATTAACTCATTCTAGAGGTTGAGCTTTAAAATATATGGAAAGTTGGGTTTCCTGTCACAGTGATAACTTGATTTTAGAAACTCAAATGTGTACTTTAACTTGAGCTCTCACCCAGAAGAAGCTGTTTGTGTCCCCTGTGAAACCAAAAGTCAACAATGACATTTGAATGTTGACCATAACCGTGATGTATTCCTGGACTTTAATAGTATTTTCTGTTGTCTTAATCTGGCTTTTTCACACACCACAACGTCTTAATCCGGTTGGGGTTAGGACAAAAACTTTCACATGAAATCTGAACCCTGATGTTTTGGGTAAAAATCCAATATTTATTTCTTTATTAGACATTAACTAACATCTTGCACATCACAAAAATGGTAACAAATCTTTGTGGAGCTTTAGAGACCTAGCCCAGCCATCAAAACATCAACCTGAATATGGCGCTGATATGAGTTATGGGCACTGACAAGGGTCAGCATCAGAAATTGGATACGATACGAGAGCCCGACCGATTAATCGGCCGGTCGATAATACCAGCCGATACTAGCATATGCAGTGACTATCGGTATCAGATAGATGTGCCGCAGATGTACCGATATTACTAGATTCATTAGCCAGTCAAAAAGCATTTCATTTGCATCATTGTATTACACTAGCAGTCCTTTCTCACCAGCAGAGTGCTATATCGATTACAACAAGCATTATCTCTCATCAGAGTGTCTGGCGGGGATGCTTGTACATGAGCAGCTACAATGGATTGACCATCTTGACTTCTTTATATCTTTTACACAAGTGTTTGAGACTGCATTTGAGCGATCAATGAATTCATTAGTATTTCTATGTTTATCTTCACTGATTGAACATAGATCTAAGAAAGATATCAGCCGATATATCAGTATCAGATTTCCTTTTCTCCCCGATATCAGTTTTAGTTTTGGCTTCAAAAATCTCATATCGGTCGGGCCCTCTACTATACGATACAATGTTATACGATATGATACTCTTTATCGTCCTGTTGGAGGAATTAGTCTTTGAATCCAAGAGTTGCAAAAATGTAGTTGTCTCCCCAGACGTATTAATAAATAAAAAACTTTTCAAGCAAACAACAATCTACATGTTTACAGTGAATCACAGTTCAATAAAAAAACACAAAGCAATACAGCATATTGCACAATATTAATTCACACAAGATCTGCATTATAAACAGCAGTATGAATACTCAGAGGAGAGTTATTTACCAAATCCTATACCCACCAAAGTGACTATTTTTGGATGTGATTATTTATTGATGAGTAATAAACTGTCAGACTGGATCTGCTGCTGACATGAATAATCGTCTTGTTGAGCTTTAGCTTTCACAATGTTTCAGTGTCAACATTTAAAATGCAAAATAACAACATGCATTTCCCCTCCTTTTCTCCGTCTCTGCCTCTCAGCGGTCAGCAGGCCTTCCTGTTGGAGAACGTGCCCTGTAACAACGCCAGCTGCCACAGTGTGGGAAGGATGTTCCACATCCACTGGGACCAAACTGATTTGGGAGCCATCCAAAACGCTGTCATGGCAACTTTCTTTGACATCTATGAGGACGTGAGTACTTTGTGTTGAACTCTTGTCCCTGTCCTCCGATTCTTCTCTTATGTTTTCTCTGTGTCATGGGCTGCCATATAAATGTTTCAGTGAAATGTCATCACTTTCCTTGGTGTTAAAGAAGTCAATGCCAAATGAATCTCATCGAGCATTCAGGAACGTTTGATTTCTGTAATGCAGAAAACTGGATTATGTGTTTAGTTTTTTGTGACACTGACGTCAACAAGTGATTGAAGTTTCTTTCCTTTAATGCTCAGACAAAATGTTCCAGACTTGGACTGATGACAGAACTATGTCATGTTCTGTTTTTAATTACTAAAACTAAAGCTTCACACTGGAAGCTTCTTCCAGTGTGTTAGAAGAATAAAAATGTACATCAGAAGAGACACACACACACATCGTGCTCCTATTGTCCCTTATCTATATGCCTGTCTTCATTTGCAGGGTATATTAGACATGCTGGTTCTAAGCCAGGTAGAGGGCAAAAAAGACCCGACCATCCATGCCTTGAAGAACAATTATGAAGCTGATGCCTACTTTGTGAAAGTGATGGGTAAGTGATGAATTTGTCCAGTTGTATCAGTCCTTTTTGTTAAGATGTATTTGGGGATTTTACTGTAGAGATAGGGAAGTGGATAGAGTCAGAATTAATGTAGAGAGACAGGGGGACCGACATGCAGGAAAGGAGCCACATGTCGGACTCAAACCCAGGCCGTCCGCTTGGAGGACCACAGCCTCTGTACATGGGGCACGCGTACTAACCACTACTCCACTGGCGCCGCTGTATCAATTATTTTTAGGGGACCACATGGAGAAAGAAAGAGGCAACATTTTCCCTATTTACCTTCTTCCCATGAAATAATCTCCAAATTCTGATTCCAAGAGAAATACACTTACGATTTAAATAACTACTGATTAATTGTTTTTTTGTCATTTGTATTATAACAGCCCCTCCTTGACTAATTAAAATCATTGAGCAGGAGCAGATGTTTCCCTTGAGCTAGTAAGCAGCTGCTCATGACTAATATCTGTCATATTATTCGGATTTGTAGCCTCAGGCTACTCGATTGGTGGTGAAAGGGGGATCTTGTCTGAGCTCCTTGTTTTATTTAAACCTGAATGAAAAGGCTACAGTATGTGCACACAAAAACGTAGGAGAGGATATGAACCTGTGAGTTTAAGAATGAAGGGGATCATGCTATGGGCATTAGAGAATTCTCACATATTGTATCAGAAGTCTCTATTGATCACATACTGTGAGACTTGTTTTAGCGATCTAAAGGGCTCTGTCTAAAATGCATGACTTACAGTGTATTAGGGCGTGTCCAGCTACAGTGTGCTAGTTGAGCGGCACACAATCTTGACGAAGTAAGGTGCGGAGCATGAAAGATGTTGGATTAAGTTCCTTAATTACACATTGGTGTGTTATCTGTTGCAACATGAATCAAACCAATCAGTGCCGCCTCTCATTTCCTTTAAAGCCCGGTGCACCTGCAGACAGACACGTTGCTCTTTACACGGTGGATTTCAGTCTTTATTCTTAGATAGACTATAGGCTCTGACCAGCTCTCTCTTTCTATTGTGCCCGTAACATGCAGAACACACACCACACTGAATGAGCTGTGCTGATTCCTCCAACTGAAGATATATTGGTTGAGGCATTCTCACAACATCAGAAACGAACAGTGCCTTTCAAATGAAAAGGGACACTGTGTACATATATATGCACGTTTGTCAGTCACACTTAAAACCTGGTTTTCACAGCCAGGAGAAACTGTAGCCTCACTATCTGCCTGTAATGCTCAGAAAGAGTTTTTATATTTTTTATATTCACTTTTTTCACTGAGTTTTACAATAGTTAAAAACTTAAATTACACTCATAGCTACACCTTAAGTATGCATTCTTTTTAAGTCAAAATGTTGGTACAGTGTTAGTTCCTAGTGACATTAAAAGGAAAGTATAAATAGATCCACTCTGGGTCTGGGTTGGGCTTTTGCACAGTTGTATCTGTCACTCTGCACTGCTTATTAGTAATAATGTTTCAGAACAGAAGGTTCTGTCTTCTTTTAAGATGAGAATTACAATTACTCAAGAAATACACACACTGAAACCATCGCCATTCCCTCTTAAAACATAAAGGAGGGCATCCTTACTTACACACTGACAGTATTACTCACTATGAATACTCTTTGCCAAGACTGACATAGACACACAGATTGAACCTGTTTGATACTGTGGTAGAAACATTGTAGAGTTTATGTCTTCATTCATCTGAACAACTCAGGGTTCTGCTAGACTGAGCCTACACCTAACTAATCAAATATCTGTTGTAGGTGCAAATAATTACATTTCCTCATGTTCATGATGTTCAGAGCATTGGACAGAATCAATACATTACATTACACAGCATCCAGCACTATAGTGAAGTGAAATCATCAGATCAAGAATCATTTTAAATTAAAATAACATTCACAAGGGTAGTGGTGCAGTAGATAGCTCTGTCGGTCTGTTTTTAAGTGTTTGTGTCGATCTTCTTTCTATATTAGCAACAAACCTTAGGCCGAGCTGTTGAGCTCTCTTACATCCATTTAAATGACACAAAGCAACCTTCTTAAAGGAAGAATGTGGGACTTTTTGATCCAGTAGATTTCAATTTCAAGAAACTGATGTTTTTTTAAGACACCTCCGCCATGTGAATCCTCCGCTCTCCTACAGCGACACACCTCCAACCCCTCTCCCCTTGCATTTGCATGAAGGAGTTATCAAATTGGAGTGCACCATAATTTAGTACTAAGAGATAACAGCAAGTGGTCGACAAATTGTCCTTGTATCGAGCTGTATTGTTGTTAGAAGGCTAATGGTAGCGCTCTAGTGAGCTCGTAGCTTCACACTGCATGTAAATTTACATGGAATGAATGTGATCTAAATAAGTTTACATGACATTCAAATAAGCAGTGAGTACAGTATGTTATTCAACCTTTGTCTAGCACCGTTTGAGATGACATCACAGAGAGATCTGCGTGTCACACTCAAGACAGTGATGACTCAGAGAGATGTTTACAGAGGATATACTGGATTTCTGCTATATTTATGTTTAAAATGTTGCACATTTTTTCCTTTGAGCATGCACTATCAATCCAGGTGCCAAACAAACAAAGACTATTTTGTGTGTTGAAAACACTTATAGTCCTATTCTAACCTAATCTTATCTAACCTAGTCTAGCATAATATTTTATTACTTCTTCAGATATTCTTGGATATTAATGTGACAAAAGGCTTCACAATTGCATCAAACTTTAGTGAGAAATCAGGGACAGAGAGAGAGAGAGAATGACATGCAGTAAAGGAGTGATTGAAACCCGGGCCACCAGCTTGGAGGACTATGACCTCTGTACATGGGTCGTGCATACTAACCACTAGGCAACCGTCGCCCCCTCAAACTTTGTTTTTTAATACAGTATATACTTGATATTCCAAACCCAGCCCATCTTATAAAGTGTTGAAATGTGTGACGGATATAGGGACTGCACCTGAAGTTGGTGTGTCTGGATGCTGCGAGTCACAACGACAAGCACAGGAAGCCAAAACGCTTTTTACAAAATAAAGGAGCATCACATTTCTTATATTTCATACATCAATAAACATAACTGTTGGGAAAGGAAGAGGCATGCATCGTCACTAGCCTGAGAGTATCTCTTTAATGTAGGTGTGTGTGTGTGACCTTGACTCATCCATGGTGTTATTGCTATAACACAAATATTGTTCTATGCCTCGTAACACTGCTGCTCCTTCCATTATCCATGTCTTTGCTTACTGCAGCACATCAAACAAAACACATGGATACAAGTGCACCAACAAATGCCTATTCATCCCCCTTCCATGCAAACACTGTCAGCTCCACAGCACCTCCTCATCATTTGACTTTACGTATTCCATTTTTACTTGTAAATATTTCATGCATGTTCAGTTTTGCATTTTCTCCCTCTAGCTGGCTACAGGCCTGTGTTTCAAACATCAGGCAGCCAAGATAAAGCTGTATCCATCAAGTGTTACACCCTGTTGACTTTTCATTCCTTTCCCCCGTGAATGTGAGCAGCTTAGTAGTCGCACACCTCACATTAGACCTCCCCGAGGGGTAAACTGTTTATTTACCAATCCTTTCAGGAATCTGATAGCTGATAGCACTACTGTAATAAGTGAGACTGAGTGTGTGAACGTCATATTCAGACCTGACACATTCTGTCAGCCACTGATGGGTTTCTGCAGACAGCCTCGTCCAGTTCTCCGTTCTGTGAGACGGAATCTTATTTGCGCTCTACGACATCCCTCAACCCTCACCTGAGCGTTATTGAACAACGCCCGCTGAAGGATTGACTTTGTGTCGGACTCTCTGTGTGTGCATGAATGTGTAGACTAGATCCCAGGCAGGATGCACACAGATTTCCCACTATAAATCCATCACTGTTGGGCCTCAGACAGCAGCCATGTCTCTCTACCTGCTGGAGGCCTGGACTCGTGCTGCGCTTTTCATTGTAAGATGACCTGAACCTTTTATGCTCTGACATCTTATCCTCCCAACATGCCAGTAGTTCACACACTACTACATCAGTAGCATTATATTTTTTTTTTTTGCCGTTGCACCATATATTATTCAGGAGCAAGCTAGACGTTGTTGGATGTATCTGCAGACCAAGGATGTCACGCTGTGAAAAAATGATGTATCCTGCCATACTGAGAAACCAGTATAGATGGTCTGTATGTTATTCTGTTATGACACTTCTTCAAGAAATACTCAGTATAGTGTATAGTTGCAGTTCAAGGGGCTGCTCTTTCTACAGTGTGTTGAGAAGACAAAACCCAATAGAAGTGGTACCATGCAGTTTTACCATCTTAAGCCAGCAAGAGCATGTCTAAGAATGTCTCTTAACACCTGTAAGCAATGTGCCCTTATCTGCAAGGGTTTAGGGCAACCCTGAACCAGTTTAACCACCGATTATACAAAAAGGATTTAAAGACTCTATATACAGTTTTTAAGGTCATAAAAAGGTAGATTTGTTGTCAGGGGTCTACTGCTGTTAGCTAAAGCCTTACTACACACAGACAGTGAGATCTCTTGACTGGACATCACGTGGGGGATGAGAAAAGTTCTGATTGGCTCATTGAAATGTTACAGAAACACAATACTACACTTGTGTCACATGATTAACTTTGTTACGACCTGGCAGACATTGAAAACAGCGAGTTGGGTTAAATTATATCACTTAAAACTTATCTTCCTATCTCTTCTCTCTCATCAAATTGACACTAACTACAAATGTCATTACAATTATGAAATTGACCGATATCTGTCGTAGTCGTGGAGAACCAACTCAATTACATTTTTTTAGAAGAATACCCCCAGACCCCCTTCCATGCATTTTTCTGTCATATCTCATCATCTGTTTTCACTACTCTAGTGTTTGCATGTCTCAAAAAAATCATTAGCAGGTTATAATTAGTTTGCATAAGCATATGTTTACAGCAGCCACAGTAAGGACATAGCTGTCGGCCCT